TTCTCCGCCATCGACCTAAAACATCCTTTGCTTGTTGATCTGACTGAGCCACAAGTTTTAGGATACTATGGCCGCATCCTCTATAATTTGGTGAGAGAGGTATCCTGGTGAGAGATAGTGCCACAATATTATCTAAAGAAAGTGTTTGACGAATGAACCGCCGCTGTTCTAAATCGTGATTTCCGGTCTCTTGTACATCGTTAGAAGGATGTTCTGGCATGCCATGTATGAAGATTGCGTTTAGGCGGTTTTGCTTGCTGTGCCTCTCTTTGGTGTTTCTTTTTGATTGTCGCGCGCTCCAAGGGACATCAGGATAGATACGTATCCCACAGGATTAGTGTTTTAGCGCGCTTACGGAGAGCAAAACGTTTTCTACTTCGGTGGAGGATTCTAGTGTTAGTGGAATAAGTCTGGATTCGTCATAATGTGGCGACTTCGGATGACGAGTAATTCGTAACAAGTTTACGGGCTTGGCTGTGATACTCATCTGCATGCACAATGAGTTCCATTGGTCTTGGTCGTCTGATAACTTACCCCGCCATTTGATGGCGGTAGATGCAGGGACAATTGAGCAAACAACAGTCCGGGCACTGTTGTTGGATCCCTTTTTCATCGATCCACAAGGTATGATACTCATGTGTCCTGACTTGTTGACAAGTGATTGTTTGCTGTTTTTCTCTCTATTTGCGTTAACGGTGTTTACAATAGAAGAGGACGCAACGGCGGCCTCTCGATGGACCCTTGCAGCAATCTCTGCATAGGTAACTGATGTTCTGGGAGGCTTAGTCTCGACAAGAAATATTTTAGCTACTGGTACCGAGAGTTGGTGTTCGGCTGCTTCATCCTTGTTAATGCTAGATGTCAGGTCTAGTGGAATTTGCTTAACCAGACGTTTTGAATGGTACCTGATTTTCGTTGCCGTGAGTACTGTTTGACTTTCGTAGGTACGGTCTGTTTTCGCCCGGCGTTCTACCAAAGTTGGAGAAGCCAACAGAGATGGAGAGATGGCTGATTGCGGCTCAGGTGAAGCGGATTGTTCAGCATTTTGTTGCTCAGAAGCCGCTACGCTTATGTGATGCATACTCGCTTCCAATGAAGTAATCTTATCGCTTATCCTCTGCTCTGCTTCTACGGTTAACCTATCGCACTTCTGAGCTAGGATGAGCAAGCACTTAACGAGTGGGATGGTAGAGCACGCAGTACAGAACCAAACTGCATCTTGGGAGCTAGTTCCCTTCCGTACCTGTTGTTGGGACACATTTGCACATTTCGTGTGATATCATTCCAAACAGTGCGAGCAGGCCAGACCGATTTTTACTACTCGATGACATTCTCCTAACTCGCAACTGCCTTTCGCTTGGAGCCTCTTCGGTTTCGCATTTCTGTCATTCAATTTGCTGTCGTTACCTGATCCAGGGGGTTGGTTAGGGTTCTGTACTTTTACAGTTTTGAGAGCGGCGCACATCGGTGAGGCGAGCATGGTGGTTTCAAGGTCAAATTAGCAGTCGGCGTGGTAGCGCGGTCTGTGTGATGGGCTATGTAGGCGCACTGACAGACAAGGTCACAAGGAATGGCGAGTGACTGGAACCTGAACAGAGTGCTGAACACAGACTGACAGATCACAAATTCTTTCACAGCTGTGTTGAGAAACACGGGATGGGAATAAACTTAGGTTTTTCGATCTGCTTCGAGAATTCTGTATCGGTGTCACACATAAAAACAATCAGCACAATGTGATTGAATTAAGCGATTAATAATGTTGGTTTCATGTGCTGGCGAAAGGTTTTTGCTCCTTATGCGGACAGAACCAGATAATGTGAAATACATTGCATTTCTCCGGGCTCTGCATCGGTGTATTCGTCGTAGCGAATGAAATCAAACCTTAAAATTAGTGATCGTAGCCTTTCGTTGTGTGTTTTTAGCATCACAGTTAGACATACATGACTGAGTGCACCCTAGAGATAGTCTAGGAGAAATGGTTGAAAACCACATCATTAGTCACCGAAGCATCGGAGCAAAACTTTTTCACCATCACATGAAACCAACATTATTCATGAGAAGCCAAATATGAAGAGTTATGACCTTGGAGAAACACATGCTGCCTTCACGTAAACAATCCTGACGCGGAGAATGAGACAGCGTACTTAGATCTGAGCAATTAATATGTACAGTTGGTTCATGAAACCAGGTTATCACACCGACTGGAGGTAGCAAAACAATTCCGTTCGCACCACAGCCTTATTTACCGACAGGTGAATGCACTTCGAACATCTCTGCTCGACTCTAATCTAGTGGAGTGCGACGATCTTGCGAAAGCCATCACCTCAAAAATTTTACTTTTCCGGATGAGGTTAAAAGTTGGCCGGGGATCGAGAGAATGGACGACCACAAGTGCCTCCATGTGTGACCTAGATGGGACTTGGCATTGACCGGTGAGGAATTCGCTGCCATTAAATGTGGTCAAGTGACAAATTATCCACATCCGCCATAGACACGCCTATCTCTAGAATATTGGGGCATATGACCTGCAGACAAACCCTCAGGAACTTGACCTCGGTGTGCTGGTGCAGGACGACTTCGGTTATTTCAGACAGTCGGAATCCAAAAGTGGTAACCAGCACGTTGTTAGCTTGCGATGACATTCTAAAGTTTGGATTCAATCATCTTCTCTCTGATGCTCCATGCCTACGTGCGTTAACACGTCGAATACGTAATCCAGGCTTGGCACGCTTGGCTAAACCGTGACCTTGCAGCGCTTGCAACTCACCATGGTCGAGCAGCGACTAAATACACTCGGAGTGTTCAGTAGACACTACAGGTGGCTACGTGGAGACCTAATATTAGTCTACCAGATACGGAACGACCCCACGTACACATGTTGCCACCTACTGCAACTCATGCCGAACACCAACTTCACAGGCAATAGCCTGAAACTGAGTCAACAACACAGTCGGCTTTTCATTAATGCTGGACGAATCTCATCACATGGCGACTCAGTGATTTCACCATAAGTAGCCATTAAACCTTTCGGTGCCTACGCTCTTTTGTGCTCAACAACAGCCTGGACGTTAAGAATTCTATCCGACCGGACGCATCATTAGCACCATTTGCCAGCGGACCAGTTTAGTCGTTAACAGATTTGTGAAAGAGGATAAGTATATTAACAGAAATGTACTAAACCAATCATCTATGCTAGTGAAGGATATGTTCAAAATGTCCGCCGGCGTTCTGGTTGCAGTGCAGAAACCGCTAGATGCAATTGGCGAGCACTTTCTCCACTGTGTCCCTCGTGATCGCGCGACATTCGTTCACAATATTTCTTTTCATCTGATCCAATGTACACGGTCTTGTATTGTACACTCGCCGCTTCAGATAGCCCAATAGAAAAAAGTCCATGGGGTTTAAATCTGCTGAGCGAGCAGGCCACTCCATTGGTCCACTGCGTCCGATCCAAGGGTGGCCAAATTTGTCGGTGAGGTAAGCACGCACCGTTTTAGCAGCATGTACAGGTACACCATCCTGCTGCCAACAAATGGTACTGCATGCCCCTTCAGCCTCCAAATGGGGAAACACAAATGATTGCAGCATTTCCAAATACGACGATGCTAGGAAAAGATAAGTCTTTAGTACTTCGAAACAACGACCTACCGGTCACATTCCCGGAGAAGAAATATGGGCCCAATATGTTCTGACTTGTTAATCCGGCCCAAACCATCAATTTCACACTGTGGTGCATACGTGATGCGGTAAATTTTCGTGGGTTGCTGGTAAGCCAAGAGTAATGTTTCATTGTTCCATGCAGATGAAACAATGTCTCATCTGTAAAGATAACGAAACGAATATCCCGGTGATCCAGATATTAGCGGCAAAATTCATGCCGCATCTCCGGACCGCGGGCAAGTGAACGGAACCTCCGAAATTTTCGTTCCAGTAATATCCGGTGTATCGCATATCGGGTCTTGTCACAGTGCTGTGCGATCTGACCAACGCTCAGGTCGGGACTTTTTGACACTTCATTGACTACAGCGCAAACTAAACAGTCGTCCGTGATGATGCGAGGCGGTCCGGTTCTCTTCATGTCACACACATTCCCAGTTTGCTCGAACTTCTTCGCTCGTTTAAGCACGTACCGGGCGGTGACGGGACGCATTCCTGCGTTCATTGCATTGTAGTTTCTTGAAGCTGATGCGACGTTTAAACCGCATTCACCGTACAGCCGAATAATCAGCGCGCGCTGAGTAACAGGCACGTTACGTGATCCCGACTGCATTGTCTGCTCGTGCTCCATTACCTATGATTCAATAACATACACAAGAGTTGCAATGTCTAACCTCGTCCACAGACGAGCTACCATCACGTGCGCACATGCACGTTGCAGTTGCCTAAGCCGACTTCCCCACGTAGCAAGCGAGACGCACAGAGATAACCATCGGTCGCTCCAACGCCTACGGTTGGCCATGACCTTCACTCAGCGCGAAGTTAGCTGACATCTGGAAACACGTTGTGGCTCGCGCGCTGATCAACAGCCTCATGTCAGTGTCTTTAGAGGTTAGGCTTCTTAGCTGAGCCATGCACTAAATCACCCGTCTGCAGAGAATTCCATATGTCCGCACCACTAAGGTGAGAGAGAAATTCATGTCTCTGCACGCGCAGCAGCATGTTGCGAATTTCGCTAAACATTGGATGGCTATTGGATGTTAGGGACAACAACCGTAAATGACCGGTGTTCACCATAAGCGAGCCACGGTAGGTAAATGAACGCTAATCGGCCTTTTTCCGTCAGATTATCCGTACGTCATCAGTGGCCACTTGCGTCAACTTAAGTGAACGCGCATGGGATCACTAGTCAACTATTTACGGGCGCTGCAGGTCGGCCGCTGTTAAACCTAAGGATATCTTCACTTTGGTATCACGTGATAGGGCCAGCTGCTTATTCAAGCGTGTTTGATCAAATTACGATAAATGCGGTAGCAGAATTGGCAAGCAGGGATAACAGCTTCACTGAACTAAGGATGGCATGCATGAGTATGTGAAGTTGTGAGGTTAGTGCGGTTATGTAAAAGGCGGCTAGCAGCACGTCGAAATTTTACGGCTCTTTGTAAGTGTTGGTAGCCTGCAGAGTGCTTTTTGCTCATACTTTTTAAGCGAATGCATATGTACATCACAAAACATTTGCTCGCTTGCTTACGAAGATTTATGCAACAGGTGATGTTATCTTATTCATGAATTATTACATTTAGGAGAGGGGTTTATGGAAAGTAAAGGCTGAAGTTTTGCAGAAGGCTGTGAGAAAATCATGGAAGGCTATTGAGCGAGATGTCTTACAGTGAGCAGAAGCACGTGGTTTGCTTGTTTGATGGCTTGGTTTCATACACTGCTGGTAAACCAGAATCAAGCTCCCTGCTGGCAATCTTTTCTTGTCTCACAGGATGTGTATATCTGTTAGTATAGCAACACTATAACATAATTCGAACTTCTTTCACTTTTTACAGAATTCGAGCTGAGAGGAGTCAACTTTCCTACCTCGTGGTTACCAGTGGAATGGATATCCGGACATCCCCGGCTGAACTGTCATCTTTTCTTTATTCTTTCACTGCGTGTCGAGGGAGAGGGACAATCACTTATGGAAGCTGGAAGTCTGTGCGATCGTCTGAGAGCGTTCCACTGTACTGTCGATGATGGTTCACACTACAAGGTAGTCAGATTAAACAACGTGTCGGCGGTAGACAGAAGGGCTTGCATACAAATTTGGACCAATCAAGATCTGCAAAGCAACGAGCTTATTGAGTTACCAGGACCGATACTGGCACTCTCACTGCGCATTCTGAGCTATCTTAAAAGAAAAGCTGTGCTGCACGGTGAACAATTATCGATCAAGGATTACAGCCCAAGTAGTCTGCTACATACCTGGTTCAGTGTCGTTGAAAGGGAACTCGGCTACTCTAAAGTAAGATTTACGTTACAGCACTTACTAAGTTCAAGGTGGGGTTTGGATACTGAGGGTCTGCTCTCCTTGAACAGGCATTCAGAATTCGGGAAGTTCAGAAGCATGCTGCTGGCACATCGCAACTCCACTCAGACTACTTTATTGGGCGATCATCTCTTGGCTGGTACAAGCAGTGCAACCTTGATAGATTATTACTGGCTGGATCGGTTCTACTCGGCTTGTCTTATTCCCATAGGAATGTTGTGCGAACGTCACAGTCCACCCGCAGGATCTGGAAGACTTCACTGCCTTGAGAATCGCGTTATACGGGAAGTAATTCAATCGCGTTACTTATCCCCGGAGCAAAAGATCGCATCACATGTGAACTTGGCAACCTGGTGGACCAAAGAATGGCTCGCCTCGGCGTCATTCACGCCATTGGTCATAATGTGGCGTTGTATACACGAACTGTCATGGCAGCTGAGCAATGCAAGACAAAGTACACGCCTACGTGGACTATGCTGGTTCAATCCACTTTGGATAGCTGGCATTCTGCAGGTCAGTCGAGAACTTCGTGGCCGTAAATGCGCACCAGTCCAACGGCTGTTCATGGAGATAAGCACTAGTCTCTACTTTCTGTACGCAGATAAATGGGAGACAATGATCTCTGAACGCCTCACTCAGGGACCAACTTTGCATGACAAGATAAGTTCGAGTGTTGATAGACACACAACATTAACCCTGAAACTGATTGAAGAGGACGTACAGCTATGCAACTTAATGAAAACTCTAGCCATTTGGAAAAATCAGCTAAAACGAGACCCAGTATTGCTCACTGGTGTGCTTTACGTCAGTCTTCATGAAATCTTTGGAGAGAGTGAAGCAGCTGACACTAGTAGCGCGAACGAGGAAGAGGAAGTCGAAACGGGAGTGGTGGCTAGCAGCAGGAAAGCCGTGGCTGCCAAGGACCATTCAAGTGACCTCTGTGGGTTGGTTAAACGGATCAAGATGGGATCAAGGAGCCTGTTGATTCGGCCTTTGAACTATCAGATTGATATAAATACCAGTACCGCTGGGTTGATTTCAGAATTGCTAACCAGCTCTATGAGGTACACTAACATTACCTACGCACAGATCGTAGAACAACTTCATGCGGTGGCCTACTCACCGGACAAGACTCGGTTGGCTGCAGGAGTTCTAAATACTCGTGATCAGATTACTCGAATTGACGTTTGGTGCCTATCAACAAAGACTGTTGTGTGGAGTCAAATAATCTCACTGGAATCTATGAACAAGGTGGAACAGTTGTACTGGGTGACGAATGGCGCCCTACTTGTGGTTCAACATCCAAGCCAAACCATCACTCTATGGCCTTTGTCAGTGCCAACCAACTACTATCAGCTGTCTGAACCCAGAGTAGGTGCACATGATTGCGTTGCAGTACGCATTGTGGAAACGGAGCTACCTGAGTTATCTTTTGTCTTTATTTTGGATCTGGGGGCAAGTCGGCTAAAAGTGTGGCGTTGGCATTCAGGTATGATTGAGCCTGTGTTCGGCTCTATCACGTTGGGAAATCCTGGGTCCACTACTGCCAGTCACTCGCCTCCGATTGGCTACAGACGGCAAAGTTTACCATTGATGGTGAAAACTTCTGTTGACACTTTGTTTACGGCGGTGATGAAGGCCGGTTCAATCTTTTTGTTGTGTGCACACAGAAATGAAGCTGCGGCGAAGATAATTTCTCTCAAAGTGACCGGGCCGAAGTTGGACCTCAATCTAGCCAAACCCAATAATCAAAAGGTTTTGAAATGCCCTCGAGCCGGCGCGCGAGTGATCGCATTGGAGGCTATCAGGCACGGCCCAATGGTACTGGCCAGTAGGGCTCCATCGATGGAGCTACCAAATGAACCAATCGTTGGTTGCTTGGATTTGTTCGAACCAACAACTGGAGCTCATCTGGATCATCTGGAAGGAGGACCGAATGCTTTCATTTTCGTGGATACTCCTACACTCGAAGGTGGTTTACTGAGCCGACCAGTGCCCCCATCGTTATGTTTGTGTAGTGACCAGGACGGTGTGAATCTGCTTGGAATTCCAGTAAACACGGAACTCAGTGGTTGCGAAGCTGTGGCGTTGGAAGTGGTTCACTGGAATCTAGTTACTCGTGTGTGCAGAGTGATCCAAACTCGAGATTTATTCCCTCATATTCTAACATGGACAGGGACGATTCCTATACCAACGTCCGTTGCATTTAAGGATATGGGAGAGCTAAGTGCGTGCTTTGGTAATGATCAGTGGAGAAATTACCGCATTTGGCACTGTGACCCATCCACCCTATCACTTTCGAGAAGCGTATCGGAAATGAAATCAAAACAGTTACTGGACAATCCCCTAGTCGATGCAAATAGACCATCTGAGCTGCTCTATCTGTACCGCAACTCAGAAAGGGAAGTTTATCTCTGCAGCATGGTGAAGAATAAATGCGCTGAATCTGAGCAGATACCGGACTGGTGCACTACAACCACTCATCAATTAAAACCTGACAGTGAAGCTGTTTGGTCTTTGGCTGATCGATTTATAATGCAAGGACGGCGATTGCTTGTCCTGAGCAAGTTACATTATTCGGAGGTCGTGGAAGACTGCCGGTATGCCAACTAATTATATATAAAATAGGTGTAATTAAGTCAGTCCAGTTCAATTATCTCCTGCAAGCCGTAGACTTGGTCTGTTAATTAGTATAATCCCACAAATTGACTATTACCTTGTAGTCATGTGAGGGAACAAGTTGTTTAGCATGTTGTCGCATGATACCATTCTCCGATCCACTGAATACCAGTGCGCATTTTCTAAACCGAGAATGTGATCAACTGTGCTATCAAGTCCTGAAAATTACCAATTGGTTTTTACTCGCGTAAAAACGACACGAATGGGCGCTTGATGGCTAGTTTATTGGAGCATTCCTAATAGAATTCCAGCTCAACAAGCCTGCACAATGTATACTGGTTTCTATTTTTGTGTAGCCGATTATCCCTATACCACCTTATTGTCTTTAGTGTAAATTATTGTCCAAGTTGAAGATGACACATATTTTCGCAGGAAATAATGTGGGATTTAGTGAGATTATTTTGATACTAGCCGATAGCTGAAGTTCTGTAGGTATTCGCAGAAAGTAGAAGTCACGATGAAACGCCACACAATAATCTGCCTCGACGGGGAACCGAAAACCGGTCCCACGAATTTCCGGTCCGCTGCAACATCAGGACAGTTACTGCGAGCTCATTGGCAATACGTCGCGCACCAAGCAGAAGTCATGTATTAAATTGCGCACCTAGTCGTCAGCCTTCGTAGAGCAGCGGACCGGAAATTCGTGGGACCGGGGTTCGATTACCCGTCGAGGCAGATTATTGTGCGGCGCTTCATCGTGACTTCTACTTTCTACGAACTTTATGCTACTCACAAACATCCTTGTAGGTCTTGCCAAAGTTTACGTGTGGACTGGGGCCGACATGCTTATACCAAACTGAATTCGTGTCACGACACATCTTAGTTCTGAGGTGAATCTCGCCCCATAGGCACCCCCATGAAATATCGGCATATAGAAACAGTGTTATTCACAGTAAAATATGGTGCACATGGTAGCCTGGAATTGATTCAATTGTCTACTAATCCAACGTGAGTAGTGCAGCAGTGCAATTTGCCAAATAGTTGAAAATGCTAAGATTATTTGCACTTGAACATCTATGGATGTCGGGATTTCGCTTTCTTCCAGTGATGAGAATAATACGTTTGATAACATCACATCTTTGAATACCCGCCATGCATCTGGAGTGCGACACTCAAGCTCGATTGAGGTGACAGTTTGCTTGGAAGCAAACCTCTGCTATTTCGATCACCGGGATCGCATCCAAAGTGAAGGGATTCAGAGCTTCTTTCCAAACACTACACGCTACCACCAACCGGTTTCGTGCTCGTCAGACAGAAGTTGACATAAGTAGACATAGGTTGAGCTGAGAGGGGAAGCCGGCACAGTGGTTGATGGCTTTGTTTTCGCCACTAAGCCAGAGATCCACAGCATTACTTGACACAACGATTATTAGTTCATTATTAGGCCTTGGAGCACCCGCTGGTGCTGTGGAGCTCTGGCCTAGTGACGAAGACAACAGCCGTTAAGCACTGTGTCGGGAAGAAACCGCACAATCGTGGAGTGCAGGGATGGGAGAGAGCAACTCCGAAACAATCTTTGTGACAATTGTTTGCCAGTACTGGCACACTTCCTCCGCTACTCCGGGTAAATACAACGGCAGTGTAGTGGCCCGACAATTTCCCATGTGATTACCACAACTTGTGTAAACTACTCTTAACTCAACTACGCAACTAGGCGAGTTAGGCAGTTTGCTTGTGTTTTGTGTCTCTGGTTGAGTCGACCACATATGCACTGCGGCTGCTTGCATGCCACCGAAGCTGCACCGTTCGGTGCTCGAGCCCTCCTACCTTTATTGTATCTATTGATGAGCTTGTTAGCTATTAGTGTCGGTGAGAGCGTACAATAAACGCTTCTCTTACCGTCCTGGTCACATGCTCTCGACTTGATCGGCTGGAAAGAACTAGGATTGGGGCACCTACTTGCACCGGCTAACACGCTATAGGAAAAAAGACAATAAAGACAGATTTAATAACAAAAGTAGGTGACCTTTCTCTGATTGCATACGAAAAGGAGGGAACAATTATAAGAGGTTGTTAGGCATGTTCAAATTTATGCCCATGTCTTACCCATACTTAGGAATGGTCCTGGCCCACTGCACGGCTTATTGGGCTTTAGCCAAGAAAAAAGTGCAAAATTTGTACGTGATGTTCATCTTCAGCATGCGTATATTACAGAAGAATGAAAATTGTTTGATGGGCAAATGCAAATCTAAAAGGACTACGGAATGTCGGGTGGGCATTCGCATAAACGCTTTGACTTATGATAAATATGCATGCCTTTTCAATCGATAGACTGTTCTCTGGTAGAATGTTTCACCTTGATATGACGCTATTTCTTCCTTGGTTTGGGGTTCGGTTGAGACGCTGACCAAGCTAGATGTCTACTGTTACGGACACCCAAGACCGATGCGTCATGCCACACCCACTAAGTATACGCGCCCAATCACATGACTATAGTGGATTCGCTAATTGGTCTCTGTTTCTCATTGGTTCGTTTTGGTCCTGTGTTTTCACTTGGCTCCGGTTAGGAACAGGGTCTAGATTCACACCTACCATCTGGCGTTGGTGCTTTTCCTCCGTCTAAACGGACTACTGGTGCATAGATGGATTAGGAATACACCATCGGTACGTAACATCTACACTGCAACTCATGAGTGCTTACTCTCTGGGTCTTTCCACCCAGTAAACAACGTATTCAAAATCAGTCATTAGACTTTTGCTATCGATTTGCACGAAGCGACGAATAGAAAGTGTAGAAAAAGAGCTTGTTATGGAGCGTCGAAGGCACAGAGGTAAAAAGAAAAGTAAGGAGAGAGAGAGGGATCTGTCGATAAAAGTTGTACACACCCAGATCGGTGTGTGGCTTCCAACCCAACTGATCGTCACTCGCGCATCAGACTGTCCAAGTCCCTACAAACACTGTCTTCTAGCTAAGACTCAGGGACACTCCATATCCACGAATCTTATCAGTCGCGAGAGATGCAGGAGGATTCAAGTTCGGTGAGTCACAAAGAAGGTACTCCGCCGCTGTACTCCCATTCTCATAAAAGGATCAGCGGTTTGCGCCCCTATTAATGCATCCTGGGCGTGGATCGTTGAATGTTTGGTCGGTTCATTTAGTACCCAAACCAGACCTTCCATGGCCATTGTGTTCCTTTCCTATCGTTGTGAAAATCCTTCAGCTTACTCTGTCTGACAGCGAAGTTCAACGATAAAGTGCTTAGGTGCAGATAATCATAATGTTTGCCTGCTTGTGGCAATTTACTGGCGTATGATAATAAATTTCTGATATGTATCGTCGATTAAGTTTATAATACAGAATCTTTCAGGAATCGTCAGCAGTGTGCACTCCATCTGACCCCTACGGGGCTCTAACCCGCAACCCGACTGTTGTTAGTCTGTGGTTAAGACCGCTGAGATACGGGGGACGGTGACCAACATCGTGACTAAGTTATTAAATGTGATATACTGCCGCCAAGTATCCACTGACTTACACGCTATTACGGTGCAGAGGACAGGGTAACCCCTCATGAAACGGTCGCACGGTACTTTTCAGGGAATGTGATGGACATATGACTGAGTCTAGATGTGACGAATTTCTACATATACCATTCAACCCCCAACTACTCTCTTGATACAGATTCACTTGCGCTCCATCTATTTCGTGTTTTGTGAAACTTTATTTGTCGTATCTTAGATGCATATCATTCCCTCAGAGAGGGGCAATATTTGACTTAATAGTCACCCTATCTGATAGATGAAGCAATTTTTCGACTGGTAACTTACCTTAACATGGTAGTAATATCGTGGTTAGAGCAATGAGTATACATGAATAAGTTGAGTGGCTGGTCAACTTGCTTAGCCGTTTAGAGAAATGGAACCAGTATTGCAATTTGTCAGTGTATCGGCTCATGCAAATTTTCGATTGTTTTAACTCAGGGAAGTTTACCAGAATTTGGATGTGTATGACATTGCTGATACGTCAAATGGAACAAGCACCCTAGCAAATCATCGCCATTTATCCAACCTCTTCATCATTCCAAGCAACCTGATTGGCTATATCGTTTGGGACAATGATTATCTCATCGGGCTTGACCAGAATCACACACATTTTGTCGCATGGAGTTTGGAAAATGGAGAAATAGTTTGGCGCATGAAGCCCAAGTTTCAGCGTGTTCAAGCAGGGCTGACGGAGTTGAGTCGCCTCCTGACTCGTGGCTCAGTAGACCGGTCGGTTATACGTGAATACATAGAAGATACAGATACCCGGGCGGTTGTGATAGAGCGGGTGGTGACCTCAGGTGATCACAGAATATTAGTAGTCAGCTGTGGACTTCCGTACTTGTGTGTATTCGATTTAACCAAGCAATCTCATGTGACCAATCTGGATGAGACATACGCCCGTACCGGTACTTGCCAATACCTGCCCATTACGGAGGGGAATGCCATGAGTTTAGAAGTGGCAACCATGTCTCACTCAGGACAGTGGTTTGTGCACTCGGAATTCAACTGGGAGGAGCGAACTGCATGCTTGACAATTTGGTCCCTAGCGCCAATTATAGGAGGTGGACAGAAAGAAGATTCGACTATGCCATGGTACCGAAGACGTTTGACTGAGCAGGGTTCTGTAGTGGCCGTTCGAGTGGAGGGAGGTGAGTGTATGGTTGCATGGGCCCGAACGAACTATGGCATCGCGGCTTGGTCGCCTTTCTGGCCTGAAGCGAATCAACCGCAGCGTCTGGATCAAAGCGAAAGGCTCGAATTTTCGATCGCAGTACCTCCTTTGCTTGAGCTATCCTCTGACGGATCGAAAGTTGCCGTGGCCTCTGGAACAGTGCGTGCGCAAATTAGCGTGTGGTATGTGCAGCACAGTGTGAACGTCTTGCTGGGCCACATATTCTCACCAAAATCAGCTATTGGATTGCGGTGGGTGTTCCGGGAAGAGTTCATAGCCATCCGAGCCGAAGACCAAGACCGTCCTTTGTTAATTTGGCCTAACTGGTTAACGACTAAAAGACAGTGCTAACTTTTGATCATCACTGCCATCATTCTCATTCTTTACGCATGTTTTCTGTCCCATACAACTTTCTAATGAGAAACGGTGTTTTACATGGTAATCAATATTTTTGTTGCAGCAACTTATAGGACGGAATAATACAAATCTTCAAATCCCGGCTACTTAGCAAGGAGTGTGTTGCATAGGAAACATTGAGAATGGCTGAGAATGCAAGTTCGGTACTACCCAACAGGTAATGTCAAATAACTGACTTTAGTACCAGGAATAAAAAGGTAAACATAGTTGTGCCTCTGCCGTCCAGTTGCCCATAGATCGTGCACTAATAGTCCTACGGAGTAAAGAATCGGGATCCTGGGTTTTCGGAACACTAGTATTGAACAACAATGGTAGATTTCAAACGGAAGTTGGCTGGCGGTCAGACTTGAGTTGAACTTCGTTCTCTGAAGCTAAGGTTGCAGAAGTCAAGGTTTAGTTATTGTCAATCCCTCCCCAACAACGCACTTTAAGACTGGTTTCGTTTCTGTTTGCCTCCTCAGGTAGGCAAATTGATGTGCCTTGAATCTCTCTTTGGATTCCATCAGTACAATACTATCGGACTCAGTAGGTGGTGGACAACACGAAATTTGGGATCCTTGTTTTGATGTGGAACGCTGTAGGAATTCTCATCCGAAGGATGAGTTTTGAGCGGTTATGATAAGGAGTGATCATAAGACCCAGTGTTGAACAAGTGTGGTGTCTGCTGGCAAATACCACGTTCCGGATTCGAATCCCATTGTCTGTCACCTATACTTGAAAAGCCCGAATGGGAGTGGTATCCATTCTGAAGTACAACATACCGACGTTGGCAAACGTGTTTTTCTATTGACTAAGAATGAGTCGTGGTTACTGTAAGTGGTAGAACGGTTCAGCTGCGTGCAAGATAACTGTCTTTTGTCTAAGATGAACGGCCAAAAATCTCGTGAAGTATCAACCAGTAATATATTTTCGTCAAGGGTAGAAACGTTTAATTGACACTACTCTCGTTACAAACGAGCAATGAATTATCATGGGTAAACACAGGTGCTTGGTAAAAATTAAAAAAAACAGCAAAGATATGTGAAGCATTAGTGAAAGCGTCTACCGACTTAAATGCACCGCTGCATAATGCCAACGTGAAACAGAGATTACATGTGTGCATACAAAGTAATGTAGAGAGCAGTTATGGTCGATTTATTCGATAAAAAAGATAACAATTAAAAGAGTATAAAAGCACTCACTCGTGTGTTGCTTCTGTGGATCGATGCGATTCCTAAATCCAGCTTGAGCACAACTTAGCTATATTCCACAATAGCAGCGCTTAGGTAAAGAAGTGCAGGAAGTGAAAATGAGTGCATTGTGACCGCAATTAGCGACTGCTCAGGTAGCGGATTCGTCAGCAGGCGTCTCTCTGATGCTTTCACCTTCGAAAACACATGCTCCACAGGGATCAGCATGTACGAGTAGGGAGACAAGAACTTCAGCTAGTACATGGAGCCCAGAAGCCTCCGTAGCTCAACTTGGATGTCAATGCGCGCGTTGTCTATGATGAGATATGCACAGTTTAACTACACTCTACAGCGTAGCCGCGCCACAAGTTTCTCGATGAAAATGGATAAGTTAACATCACTGCAGGTGCCATCGCTGATCATTTTGCAATGGACGATCCCTTGTTTATTCATTGCCACAATCAGCGTCACCCTGCGGTCTCTGAGTGTGGGCAAGTGAAGGTTCGTCCGCGTCCCTCTTCTAGAAATAGCCTGTGTCCGACGCAGGTGTAGATTGCTCTTGTCATGCGGACGCGTTGTGCCGAGAAGTCCAGAACGTAGGCCTGATACCGCGCGATGGTCGGGGTACTGTTGGCACGATCTAGCTCGTAGTAGCACTTTCTGAGCGTAATCTTCAGTCTTCTGAGTGCGTTGAAGACAGCTGGATCCTGTCCTCACCCACCCGCTGTTGCAGCTGCGAATGCCGTTCAGCGGTCTCTTCAACGCGCTGCATGACATCGGAAGTTCGCTTCTGCTTGTTGTTTCTTCCACACTTGTGCCGAGTAATGGTGTTCCCTTGTGTATAGGCGTTGATGATAATGCATTGCTATCGGCAAATTCAGCATCTTCGTGGGTGGTCTTGCTGTCGATGAAAACAAGCTTGATGAGAATGTCGTTCTGTGCCCATGACGTTCGTTTGTACGGTTGCAACCTCAGAGCTACACTCGCTCGTCTTTCGTCGCTCATCTTGGTCATTTTATGTAGCACAAGGCCTTTGTCTCAGTAGTCGCGAAGCTGCGTCGATTCGCCCACACGCTCACACAAAATACGAGGAGGCCACCACAGGGACAGTGGAAGTTTTTGATCGAGGTGACGTTCCTGAGGAAGAGAAGGGCTCGCACGATCGTCCACTGCTTGAACAGTCCTGTTGCATTATCGTGACCGAAATGTGCTCTGAACATCATCCAATCGTCTTACTCCTCATTTCTTGCTAAAACTTTCATGATTTTCTGACAAGAATAACGTGTAAAATTTATTTTGCGAAACGCCCAATTTGTTTGCAAAACGTCCGATGTGTTTTGCAAAACGTCACATTTAAAGTGAAAATGGTATATATAAATACCATATGTGATTCCATCAAACAGGTACGATCATACCTCTTTGCGGAAGATATTACACTCGTCTATTCATTTCCACCCGATGGCCCTGAGAACTTATCTGCACTTGATTCTTGGAGTAAAACTTGCGCCATGAAATTCTCCGTTGAAAAGCTGCAAGTGCTTGGGCATGGATGCTGCATACCTGATGGGTCCATCACCCTAGCAGATACAAACATCCCAAACTCCGCTTCAGTTAGGGACCTTGGAGTAATATATCCCGCATCGCTCAACGTTTCCGAGCATGTTTCATATCAGATAGCCAAGACAAGGCAATTGAAAGTCTATATCACTAAATTCTTTGTTCTACCTGAAACGAGACTGGGAAAGTTTAAGCTAATCGGGAGACCAATGCTGGAGTACTGCACAATTATACTAGCCGCCTGCATAGAACGGATCGGAAAGCTTTAGTAAACATTCAGCGCTCTTTCACGAAACTCATTATTGGCCGGTCCACCACTCTGAACTGTGAAGACCGCTCTCACCGCCTTAAACTAGACCTCTTATGGCTGCGCCTTAGAAATAATCTAGTTTTCTTTTACAACATTATACACTGCCGGGTATTCACGACCGGAATAGATCTTGATTTGCAAAATTCCTCAAGCTTTCCCACAAGAAATAGGGGTTACTTACTACCTGTAAAAATGGGAACCTAAAGATCCCCTCCGACCTTTTCCTGGTACGGTATACTCACATAGAGAACAAACAACAATGGAAAGTACGGACTAGTGAGAACCTAACCAAATTTAAAATAAACTTCGGAGCTTTCTCACCATGCAGAACAGAATGAAAACATACGGTCTACAAATGTCCACAAACGTGTTAATGTCATCAGGTTCAAACAATATAAGAGCAATAGTGCAGGTGTACCACACTCCAGCATACTTTGACTTTGTGCTCGAAAATGCCACCCACTTATAGGTGGAGAAGCAAAAAAGTATATCTTTTGCTTTATCTCTCCTTCGTATATGTTAAATATTCTACCGGGCTATGGCATACGGATAATTCGCCTCACCTAGTGCGTATTGAAATGAGAAGCCAACCCATTAATAACGCTATCTGTTATCCTGAACTTACGAAACATTTTAGCACACCCAGTCATATGGTATCCCACAATGTCCCGGAACATGCTATTTGTCTATCTATTTCGTTGATATTTCTACCACCTAATTTAACTATTTCATCGTATTCTCCTGTTATTCTGTTGGTCACGAGTGGGCCGATCTCCTGAGGTGATGTTTTGAAGCTTCTAAGCAACATATATACCCACGCCAAAAGACCCATTGATGAATATAACAAGTGTGCAGAAATTAAAAAAAAACAGTCCAAGCTGAATTGCTAAACTAACACTTAATGGCATATGACGACAACCGGTGATCCAGGTCATCATGCACGCAAAAAACTACGAATGAAGGAATGGCCGACTGGCTTGAGTAACTAGCTCACTAAAAAAAAACAATTGCCCAAATGATGAATAAAATCGGTAGTGGCCAGTGTGTTTTTAAACCACACCGACACATGACCAGATGGGGCGCGGAGTTGCGAGTGAAACCTCTCGACGGACTACCCCGCATGGAAGAAGGTCCCCGGACGGTTTCCCGGATGACCGTATTACTTCACTTGTTCTTTCTTACCCTACTCCATTCTGCATTGAATCTGTTGTGCTCCTGGTTCTTAGTTACTTCATCTCTATCTTCCTACTGTCTTACCGATATTTCCCAGCAAATTATTCCTTAGACCATATGCTCGATCTAAGTTATGGTGCCTTTCCTCACTACCTTTAGGCCAAAAATCAGGTAACTGTTATACACTTTCCTAATCACCTTGTCTTTGGCATCTTCTACAAGACTACGATACACTGAATAAGTCCTGACTTTGCAGTTCTTCGTCTAGCCATCTGTTTAATCCTCCTTTTTAACATTGCTGAGCATAGTCACGCACGCATACCTACAAGTGAAGGCTGAAAGGAATGCAACTGAGCTCACCCAGCACCTCAAGTATCTGGCAGCCCAAAACACAACTTGACAAGTTCAATTTCATAAATAGACCTAGGAATGTCTAGACACCATGCTATGCCTTAACTCTCTACGAGGTAAGTACTGTTTATATTATTCTGATAAAGCAACCTAAGTTTGATGATCCACTAGAGTCACCTTATGATAGTCTTTTTCTTATTTCCGCAACTCCCTAACTTGCTACTCACAAATAGCTCCAACTGTATTAAGATTGTGTACTACTCATCCAATTTTGATTGGTGACTCTATCTGCTTCATCCTTTTCATACTACTTCCGGCCCCCATCAAACCGCTGCCAAAATGGCACCACCAAACTGTACCGAAAACAACCACATGAGAATGCCCGCGAACCGGTAGCATACAGCGACGAAAGTCCCAAATGAAAATATTCACAAAAACATCCCTATTGTAATCCTGTAAAAACCAAAAGCATTGACAGCCTCGCATGTTGCAATGTAAGTATGAACCGTCCCTTTTGGGCTCGGTTTCTCGGTACCACGAAAAATATACCTTATTACGATCATCATAAGGTGATCATACTTAAAAGCTTACCTTTCGAGCCGCTAACATAATACCTGACCTCACTGTCATACAGAAAGAAACGCTTGTTAATCCCTATCCGACGAACCTATTACATGCGAGTAACTTAAAAGAATAACCGGTGAAACACACTAACAGATAACCAGATTGCAAAAACACGGTCGTCTTCAATGTCTCGGACAGATACTCATTGAACGTACTAGTTAAGGCTTGCACACTAAGAGAGATTGACTGTAGCGTATTACGAATCCATATGAAGTCTAAGAAACATGGCTGTCCACCAGTGATTAAGTACCACGGTCCATTCAATGCAACTAAATGTACTTAAGGCGGATTAGCTATCTCATCGTCTACGGAACACAAATACACCGTTACCAAGGCCGAGCATACGCTGCTAGAAAGATAACTTTTGGGCGCCGGGAACGGCACCCTAGCTCAATCATGGATAGTAGCCGACTTAAACCCAAGTCCAATCAAAACCGAACCGTTAACGCCTAAGTTGGGTCATTAGGTCGACATCGATGCGCATGCAGATGTTGATGAAAACCACTTTGTTGAATGTGTAATGTTAAATGGTATGTAAGTAAACAATACGAAATTTAAGCCGACTATCATTCAGGCTGACCACATGCCCCCGGAAAGTTTTCTGTTAGGTTCAGGCGAACGATACTGGAGTCCTGTTTCAGCTAATTGCTCGTCTAGCCTTCGCCTAAGCCCTTCCGTAACCAAGTGACTTACACTTACACTGGGTCACGATGTAACCAACGACGCACAAGAAGGATATGGCGAGAAGCGTTTTTCGGAATGTGCAATAATAATTGGCCAGTTGTGAAACGATACTTTAAGTAAAGAGGATGTTTGCTGCCAAAAAACAAAACCAGGCACCAAACAATGAAAGCGCAGTGAGTGCGATTGGCACCCGCTGCCAAAAAAGCAGAAGTTGGTCGCACAGCAGAAGATCGCACCATAATATAAACTAGCAATTCTATATGACCCAGCAAGGTTACAGTAACATGTTCATCAACAACTAACAAGCATCAAAGCCGCATTGCGGAACATACCTCGAACAGCCCCCAATGCAGGCGAAGTTTGAACAAATCCTAAAGTAAAACCAGCCACCTCCGGAGCAGAAATTGTCCCAAGTGTCCATGACGGAATTGCTGAGAAAGGAGCCGTAAATACATTGAAAATATAGTGTGATCTAGGAATCACTGGTGTCAAGTACCCAACCTTCACCTTGGTGACGAATCGTGTTAGTAGCAATCGTTAATAGCTATCGTTAATAGCATTGAAGGACCATTAATTGCAGCACCAATTGTCACGAAACTATCCGGCGCTTAAGCTCCGCGACTATTGCGACAGATAAGCTGAGGTCGTCTGTCCGAAAATAGTCTCTGTTCGTCCTAGTTAGAAGAAATGCCCAAGACATATGAATGTTAGGTGTTGCACTTGTAAAATTGCGCTCCACGGCCGGCATCCTATTTGTTTTCCAGCGACTCGGTGGCTTAGTGGCATAGGCCTTTGCAGACATCGCAATGTCCAAGTCGTAATCCTGCCACCTGGCGAGTACAAAAAGTAGGAAAGCGGTCATGGAGCGCAGTGTTTCGGGCCGGCAATATTTATTTGCTTTACATGCAGTTCATTTACACGAGCGCTTCTAAATGAGCCTCACTTCACCAAGGCACGGTTTATCACAAAAATGATGCAGAAATCGCTCATATAATAAACTCGTTTCCTTGTAGTTCACCCAATCGTCAAACGCCGTGTGGTGTAGCACTGATTTCGGTATGTAACGTAAGGCGGATGGGATTGCCCAATATCGGTCTTCCTCTATCTTTCAAAAGGTGGATGAAACGACTATGAAGGACGTCGTCACGGTTGCCACAAATAGAGTGGAAATGCTACTACTAGATGAACAATCCATAGACGTAGGATACACGTACGATTGTGAAAACGGCAGCAATTCACCTGAACGCAGTCGAATTTGAGAAAAACTGACCTATATAAATACAGACTTCTACCTGTGATATGCGAGAACCTGATCAGTATACTTAAGTGTTACGGAAGAGTGCTTTGATATTTCGATAGGTTCACTTACACTTTGCTCTCCCAGAATAGTCAGGTAACTGAAGAGATTGGTGCACTTGTGGTGGACCACACTGTGGTCTGACTGCAGCTCACCGATAAGGGGCAGTGTACACAGATGTAATGAGGACAGTACCAATACACGAGAGAGGTGAGCACTGCACCGTGAATGCCTGATTACAAACAAAAAAAATATCCCAAACGTAGGCATCAAAAATAAAAGTTGTCGAACAAGCTTGTTTGGATAATGCTAGGTGATTGGTTCACTAAGTCTTTTTGTTGTGAACTCACTGTCACTAAACAACAAAGTGCACAATCTATTGAAACACACGGAACAGCTGCATGTTGATGATGTCGAGTTCTCTTCAGGCGGACTACACACGTTCCATAAGCTAGACATTTTAAAAAGCATATCGGATCGGATAATTATCAGGGCAACTAGGAGACCATAAGACAACGGTATGACGAAGTGACAATGAATAAGTTTGCTCACAACGTTTCTGACATTATTCAGTAGATGTAACACATCAGGGAACAGAAACATCAAGTGACACAGCACTGCCAAATGACCAATGACAATCTCCGGCAGTAGACCGCCAGCCTGACGCTTCAACTGCCAATTATCATCTTTATTCGCCCAACTATTTGAGTCATCATGGTGGTGAGGAACGGTGCAACTCGAGGCTGTTCACGGTTCAGATCAAGTGATATAGGAAAGAATGTTGGAGTGAGTAACGGAGGATGGGCAGTTGTTTATGAGTAAGCAACTCATATCAGTATGTAGATTAACAAGGCTGTCTAGGAAACCAAGTAACAGGTCATAAAAGTACACAATTCTGAGGCCAGAGACATGATCAAAAGAGAAGGATAGACATAAAATATTCCATGCAAAAGGTGAGTGAACAGTTTCGACTGGCGACCATGATATAGCGAAAGCCTAATGAAAAGACCACAGCCAAAAGTGAGTTCAGAATTGAAACAGAAACTAGGCATACAAAACGACAATAAATAAATATGTAGCGAGCTGGTGTGGAGGGGAATTAAAATAACGACACACAAAGAACAAGAGTGCGAGAAAGCACAGGACAGATAAAGAAGGGACAAAATTTTCAGAGCCACTGGAACAGAATTAGTATGTGTGAACACCAGCGAAGAAATTCGCCGACTAGTGTGCACAAAAACGGGACATTCAAAGGCATCTGAGTGTGATCCGTTTACGTGCGAATGCACCGTGTTCCGGGGAGTCGTGTGCTTTTTCAAGGACGATAGACCAACGGATACTGCTGGAGCAATACGACGCGAAAAGTGGCAATTGGACTAGCGCATGAATGCGTCGAGTTCGGACTCGTCACCGAGTGCATCGAAGACAGTGTGCTGCGTGCGAATAGAGGATAAAGGGAAGTAAAAGGAGGGGAAGGTAAAAGGGCCTCAAAATCAGACACCCAAAGGGAAAGATGTACACTTTACACATGTAAACGTCCGTGATTGTAAATCAACTTCCAGACTCATTTGAGGAAAATGTTGTACAAATGGGTAAAAAAAGATAGAATCTGTACATCGGCACGTCAAATCGAGGTGTCGCTCTGACGCAACCTCCACCAGCTGCGTGAGAGTTAAGAAGACTGGGAGGTAAGCGCACATTCGCTGACTCTAACCAAAGACCTATTGATTGCAAGTCAGACACCTGAATCGTTCGTCTACCGACCGGTTACAATAGACAAGAATATATGTCCATCAGTATGTAAAAAGTGGAAGTACTACTCCTCCTCCTGAAATTCACATCTGGATGCAAAGGAGAACAAAAAGGTGTCTTTCGCTAAAAGCCGTTAAAAATGAAATAACTAAATGAAAGTTAAAAGTTCACCGGCAGACTTTTTCGACAACACCCAGCAATAAAGCAGCGAGACGAGATGGTAACATCCGACCACCAAAAGGAGTGATGGGGACTCAAACGCACCGGCTTATGCTTAGTGGATGCAATAAAGTCAAATTTAACTGGGAGCTTTGTAGTTAAAATATTACCAGAAAGCCGGAGCAGTATCAACAAGAATTATAATTAAGGCCATGCTCTTTCGAAGCAGAGGGAGCGATTTCTATTCACAACCCAGAATAATGTTTCTGAAGGCATTCTTTGCATGAGAACTTAACTCTTGACGACTGTGGGCTGGAGCCGAAAATTGACGCTAACAAACTCATCATTGTCTCGGTTATACTGAAGACGTGGGTAACAAAGGCAGAGGTTCAGACACCCTATCAAGTTGAACGATGTTAGTTAGTGCAACCGAGGTGGTCGAATAACCAAAGTTACACAGATATCCGGTATGAAGTGAATGCAATTAATTCGGTAAAAAAGTACATTAATAAGAGCGACGGGTTAGAGTGTTCCCACCGGATGTTGTTCTCCTTGTATGAGGCACACGGTGTGATGGCAGAAAAACGACTTTGCTATTGTTGTGACTACAACTCAAGGTACACGCAAGTGCACTCAAGCCGAAATGTACCATCAACAAAACAGTTGCACTAGGTACAAATACAACAGTCTAGACCGATTAGTAAAGTTAACACACGATTGATAAACAACAATCCTGAGAAGCAGAGGGAATATCTTTTGGTGAAAAATTGGGATGAAATTTATGTGAATCCCCTTGGTCTCCTGCAGATACAAAAAACGATAACCGCTCTGAAATTCAAAGGATATAAAAAAATAACAAGGAAACATGCAGCACCTCGACCACCTTGAGCGTAATTGCTGCAAAATGGATGAAGCGGCTGACTTGCTGAACTATGTCTTGGTGGACCCAGCTGGGTAGACGAGTGTATACCGTTCAAGTAAATGAGTTGGCGGGAGTGTTTCAGGTGACGGGTTTACGCATGGAAAGTATATATACAGTATATAAAGTATATATACAGTGACAGGCCAATCCGAAAGCGGATGCCGCCAGATATATATATATATATATATATATATATATATATATCTGGCGGCATCCGCTTTCGGATTTGCCTGTCACTGTGGCAAGCCACAGGACGCCTGCGCATACAGAGGGACCATGGATGGCTTGCGCTGTACCACCCACAGCTCCAACCACACACCCCATATCCAGTGTAAACCCGAAGGAATAAGACCGGGAGGCGTGTGGATGGGAGCCACATTTCATCAACGGAGCCAGCCCACACTCCTTCACAGGAAAACACAAACACACTGTAATTGGGGAATCAAACGCACACAAGGCGGTGGCTGGACCGTGATCCGCTCCACACTGAGTGCATGGAACCACTCTTTGATCCTAACACGGCCACAAGGACCTTGCACCCCGTCCCGTCCAGCAACGACCAACTGTCTCCTGGACCCAGTATGGACGAGGTAGTGGGTATTAGACAGGTAGGCACCTTGTCAATATGCACATCAAGCAACAGCCAACCACTTGAAACGACAAGATAAAAAGAAAGCGGATACTGCAGACAGATGCGGCGGCATAACTCTTCACTAAATAGGCGTGTAAAATAAATCGTTCACGAACGAATCCGCGATAAGTTAAAGAGGTCAGAAAATATATTTTAAGAACCTGCCACAAACGCGAAAATGTTATGGAAATTAACTACAATTAGCTTCATCGATATGTGCCAGTTTATAGATAGTACAGGTAAACATTAAGATGAGAGAGAAAAGCAAAAGGACAAAATTGCAAACCCACCACGTGAAATAAAGTGATTTAGGATGCAAACACGCGGTTAGTAAATCGGATGCAGCGTACTTACGAACGCTGCGCCGGTTTCGCCTACGTTCTCTGCAGGACCCATCGTCTATTCGGTGGTGGTCCCGAGTGGCCTCGCTCATGACTAACTAGGCCTGCCTGACCCAGACACTCGCGACCGCACCATGCGCTCGATGTCGATGGAGCACAAGCCATCGGTGCTTGCCGCCACCGCACTTGCCGTTTCTTCTGTGCATGCATGAGGGCTTTCTCCCGCAATTCGGCAACTGCCTTCGTGATCAGATCGCGCCTTCGATTCCCATGACCTGCAATCAAGATTAGAACGTGAGAGGCACCCTTTGATCATGTCCTGGTATCGTAGCTTTGGTTTCCCAACATGCCGCTTCCCAATACTCAGCTGACCATATAAGAGTCGTTTCGGCATCCGCGTCGAATCCATACGGCTCACATGACGGATCCACCTCAGGTGTCCCAGCAACAGGATGCAGTCCACTGCATACATCCCACTTTGACGCAAAACTTCCGTGTCTGCAACTTTGTCGCCCCAACCGATGCGTAAAATCCGTTGCGAACACTGTTGATAGAACCGCTCGAGATATCGCACATCCCGCCGGTACATCGTCCACCTTTCCCTGCCTTATAGAGTAACGGACAGTACCATGCATTTGTACACTATCAGCTTCGTGCCCATGACAAGCTGATGGATTTTCCACACTCCGTACTCAAGCTTCCCGAATGCCGTCGCTGCCTTTGACACGCGGATACGCAGCTCACTGTGTAGCTGCTGGTCAGTCGACATCATACCCACAAGGTAGACGAAGCGGGAGGTGGTTTCCAATAATTCAGCACCAATGCTGATTTTCGGCACCATTTAAGACTGTGCCTACGATGAAGACTGAAAGAGACAGACAGTTTTTTGTGTTGATGGTGAGCCCGAATTCGGCCGCTGTCGAAGCCCGTGCACTAGTCATGGGATGCAACTCATCCGCGCTGTTTGCATATAACGCAGTCGTCGGCAAACAGCAACATAACGGATAGTCGTCTTATAGGCTAGAGTTCTCGCACCGAAATGACGGATGCTCAGCAACCCGCCATCAATACGGTGCTCTGTACGAACACCGTAAGCAAAAGCGGCACCAAATATATATTAAACAGGGCAGGAGCTAAGACACAGCCCTCCCCTCACACCATTGACAACCGCAAAGTCATCCGAGGTCTCACCACTCAGCTTCACCCACGCCCGCATACTACTGTGCAGACATTCAATTAAAGGTACAAACTTTGTATATATATATATATATATATATATATATATATATATATATATATATATGGACGGCGGCATCCGGTCTCGGATTTGCCTGTCACTGTGGCCAGCCACAGGACGCCTGCGCCTACAGAGGGACCATGGGTGGATTGCGCTGCACCACCCACAACTCCAACCACACACCTCATATCCAGTGTAAACCCGAAGGAATAAGACCGGGAGGCATGTGGATGGGAGCCACGTTTCATCAACGGAGCCAGCCCACACTCTTCACAGGAAAACACAAGAACGCTGTATTTGGGAATCAAGCGCACACAAGGCGGTGGCTGGACCGTAGTCCGCTCCACACTGACCGCATGGAACAGCTCTTCGAGCCTAGCACAGCCACAAGGACCTTGCACCCCGTCCACTCCAGCAACGGCCAACTGTCTCCTGGACCCAGTATGGACGAGGCAGTGGGTAATAGACAGGTAGGCACCTTGTCAATATGCATATCAAGCGTAGCCACACCGGGGATATCAAACAACAGCAAATCACTTGAAACGACAAAATGAAATAAAATAAATCCAATTACGCATACAGATCCGGAGGCATAACTCTTCGCTAAATTAGCATATGAAGTAAGTTGGTTAGCAACGAATCCGCGATAAGTAAGAAATGTGCACAAGTAACTTAAAAATTCTACAAACGTAACAAAGTTACCGAAGATAAGCGCAATTAGCGTAAGCAACGTGGCCAGTTAATAGAAGATTATTCAAGTAGGCAGAAAAAAACCAAATAAAGTGGAATGAAATTTATCCACTTAAAAGACCTAGTTTAAGTGTAAGTTGGATTAGCCCAACTGCGCTGAAGAAGCATCAAGAATGCAACGTCAGCCTCAGCTGAGTTGCGATGGACTATTTTTACTGGGTGACTGTTGCGGTGTGGACATACGTAATCGGTTTGTATGGTATTGGCACAGTCAATGGGAAGGCTGACCTGTTGCTCTTACTGTGCGCCATTCACGGCCTGATAGTCATGAACACCCGGTTTGCACTGGGTGCGAGTTTAATGTCCGTTCCTTAGGTACTAATGAGAAGATAAAGGAACTGGAGAAGGCGATGGCTACTCGCCTTGTTGATGTCGAATTCACAGCCTCGATGAGCGACCTGTGGCAGCACATCCGTGAAATTGGAACTGATGTTGCCGAAGAAACCATCGGATGCGCAAACTGTTAGCGGCTCCATTGGTTTGATGACAACAATGTCACCATTGGCGCGTTGGTGTCGGCGAACGATGCAGCGTTCGCTGCACGCGTGGATGACCTTGAAGACTGAAAGAAGGCGCCATTTTCGCCAACTTCGACGGCGATTGACTCGAGAGCTCCATCGTACGAAGAAATTGTGGTGGAC